CGCATGGAGACTGAGACCAAACATGTCCTCTTCCTCACCAAGAACCAAGTCGACAGAAAGCCTGAGCTGGCTGCCAACAAACAAGAGAGGCCCGCAGACGGGGGCAAGTCGGAGAAAAAGAAGGAGTGAGTACACTTTGATTTGTAATAAGTTAAGTAGATTATATATATATTGTCTGTGCTGATATTGGACATTAAATAATGAAGGGTAAAGCCAAGTGAGTTGATTAAACCCTATCCTCTTCAAGGTTATGTCTTCTTTGATTTTGTGTATCTAATATTTCAAGTGCAACACAAATGCACCCCTGGCACAATATACTTATGTATTGTGTTGCAGTTTTATTTACTGTACAAGTGTAATATATTTGCATTATCTAAGTTCAAATTCAACTGAAATGAAAACAGTAAATTGCAATTAAATGGACTTACTCTGCATTTAAAAGTGATTTTAATTCATGAGTGATACATGTCTAATGTATGTGATCTTCTGTGCTGTCTTTGCTCCAGACATGATACGGTCAGATTACAGAGGCTACAGAACAGAAAGTTGGATAAACAAGTGGACAGGATGGAAAAAGAGATGTTTGTTGGTAAGAAGACAAGCATGCACTGACCCAGTATGAGGTGCATTCAACATCATCTGCGGTTTTAGTGGCGTGTTTTCTAAAAACCTATTGCTTTAGATTCTGCATGTTAATCAGAAAAGTGTATTGTACCTAAGTTTTTCAGTAATATCTTGCTGAGACAGAAGGATATATTCTGAAGCGTGTCAGTCAGTCACTTTGAAGTCAGACATTTTCAATTTGCTGAATTGTCCTATAGTCATTTTGGGAAAGTCAAGACACCGGCAATATTCCACTCTGCTGGAAAGGAAGCATCCTATGTTGGAAGTTTTGTATGGATAACTAATTATTTACTTTTTAAATCAAACTTAAAGGGAACAGATTTTTTTTAAGCACACTTTAAAGGCCCTGTCACACTGTCCCGAAATTGACACCCGATGGACACACGAATATGGAATTGTGAATTTCGCACGATCATGGCCCCGAACCACACACGAAGGCAACATTTACATTACATTTAAGACATACAACTGCAATGAAAGTACCAAAAACAATTATGTTACAGTACTATGATACTGTACTGATATCTTCAGACTTTGTTCTTTACTTTATCCGTCGTTATATGTAGAAAATATTACGTTTCTCCGTAATGTTGTTTCCATAACAACAACAACTTCCTGTCAACTGTCCTTCAAAATAATATATTATATCCTTTTTAGTTTCAGAGAACACAAATTGGGTTATTTACATAATATATTTACATGATTTTGTTGTGCAATAAAACAACCCGATGGACACACGATAAAGGAAATGTTCAAATTCGGCTGTGATCGTAGCAACATCGGGCCATTCGTGAGGGCATCTTAAGCCATCGTAGCCTATGACCGCCGGTGGAGTTTCTCAGGCTCCGGCAGCAACTTCGTGAGCGGTGGCAAAATCTTTGGCATGCCAAAAAATTGCCGAAGGACCTTGCGAAGGTTCATTTTCGTTTTGAATTCGTGTGTCAATGTTGCCCTTCGTAAGGCCATCGTGAGGGCATCTTGTTATCATCGGTGCCATCGGGCATTCGCCCCGATCAGAGTGAGGGTGAATGCACCGATGATAACACGAAGATGACACGATTTGACAAGATGCCCTCACGAGTGCCTTACGAAGTTGCCGCTCACTAAGTTGCTGCCGGAGCCTGAGAAACTCCACCGGCGGTCATACGATGGCTTAAGATGCCCTCACGAATGGCCCGATGTTGCTACGATCACAGCCGAATTTGAACATTTCCTTTATCGTGTGTCCATCGGGTGTCAATTTCGGGACAGTGTGACAGGGCCTTAAACGATTACCACTCTTTACAGACTTTACCGAGCTCTACTAAGCTTTAAGTTGTCTATTTGTAATCATTGTTTCAATTTTGTAGCCAACAATTCTTCTCACACTAATGTTGTGCCTGGATTTGTTTATAGCCATGACAATTACTAAGGCATGTCAGTTCTGTGTTTTACAAGTTATTGGAAAGAAACATCCATTAATGCTGGTTTTATTAGAATTGTCAAAGCAGAACATTGTATATTGATATTAATGAAAGCTTTATTTTGTAGATCATGTTCCCTTTGGGGAAGTTTCTATGTGCCCGCCATCTTTCAGCGCCAAACCCAGGAAAGCTCCTATCAAACCTGAGGTAACCCGCTATGCAGTTATTACATGGCCTTATGCACAATTTACATTTGTATTCATACATTTCTATCTGCTTTTTGTTCACAGAAAACCCCTTTTCTTTCATAGTTTCTCTATTTCAGTTACTGGCTAGGCTGTTATCATTTGCACAATCTTCATTTATATGTGTTTTAAATATGACAAACATTTGTATTTAAAATTATCATTATTCTTGTACTGCTTTTTTACTATTTTCTATTTAGCTACTTTACATTCACCCTACATTTGCATCACACCTGTGGCACAATGCATCACTGCTCTCTTCTCTGGTGGCTAGACTATGCTTTGCTGCTGGGTGCTTTATTTTAAATATAGATATATATTTAGTTTGTATTCTTCATTCCTGTGTGTATCATTGTTTTGTATGTGTTGTTAAAGGCTCTGTATATATTTACATCTTTATGGTTGAGTGAGATGTTGACTGTGTTTATTTCATCATTCCAGAAGGCAGCAAAGCAGCTGCTCCTCAACTCTCTCCTCGGCCACACGGCGGTCACAACGGGCAAGCCCTCCATGGCCCGACAGCGAATCATGGAGGAGGAGCGGGTGCGAGCAGTGGAGGCCTACCGTCTTCTTAAGAAACAGAGACAGCAGCAGTTTAAGGACAGGGATGCCAATCTGGAAAAACTCAGGAACCCAAAGTGATGTTTCATGTGAAAGATTTTAAAAAGACTTCAGTCAGCTGTGAATCTCAGAGACTGAAAATCAGCAGACCGTATGTGTTATGTAACTCTGCAACTGGCAGTGATGGAGCTCACCACAGTGTAGCTACAGTAACTGTCAGGGGAACAAGCACACATTTGCATCTGCTGCCCACAGCAGGAGGTAAGTAGTGATCGACGCTCAACTGCCTCTTTCAGTGTCCTATATTTAACACAAAAAAGAACCGGATTTTCAGATTGTTAATGTCTGTATCATCTCCTATAAAACGGACAAGCTGATAAAACCTAAATAAATACATCCAGTAAGGTCACTTTTCTTGATTTCCACCACTGTTAGTAACTGACAGATGTCCAGCTGTTTCACCCTGTTTTAGTATTTGCATATGAAGTAAGCCTCTATTCACGTTGGTGGACCATAACATAGTTTGGATAGTGCCCAGGTAAAGATAAACCTCCAGTGGTTTGCTGTGGTCCCACTAGATGTCAGGCTTCCTGCAGAAAGCTGGTATTGTTTGAATAGAGAGCCGACCCAACATGCATAATGAAAGGTTTTGTAACGCCAAGGGTTGTAAATGTCGATCAATTACTAGAGCCTAGCATAGCCATTTACATTTGCATCCCGTAAAAGGTTGACGGGATAACCCCCCCCCCCCCCCCATGAACAGGCCTTTGTCTGAAACAGTGGACTAGCTGTGCGTATAGTGAGATGTGTGTTTAACAACTTCATCTTTCAAAGCGTCCTAGATCTAAAAGAGCGATAGTGACCTACAGAATAGTATCACCAGATGGTTGTGGTTGTTATTACTGAAGCCCTGTTGTGTGCTCTGCTCTGTTGGTTCGTAGTCGTTGCAGTTCGATCGGCTTTTTATCCTCCGTCTGTGTTTGTCCACAGAGGGTTGTCACAGTGACAAGAAAAGGCATTAAGTGGGGGTTACTGATTGGTGGTGCTGAGCTCAAACACCATCGCTCATGTGCTCACCTGTGTCCATGTGCACACGACAGCTTTTCATATTATCAAGTGCTTTCCAGTTGCTGCCTGTCAGAGAAAGATGCTGTTGGGTTTTAGCTCAAGTCAATGCTCGGAATAAGCCAAGAGTTATGTGTGGGTTTATTTAACGTCCTGTAGGTACAGCTTACCAGTAGCCCCTTTTTATGAGATGAGTTGGACAAGCTGTAGGACAAGATTCTAGAGTAAACCAGGTCAGTGTAGTAAAAGGTTGAAAATGCAAAGGAAACACTCAAATGTCTGAAAGGTATTTGGATCCATGTGGGTAACCCTTTCTTGCAGAGTTCACCATCAGGTGGACATCACTGCATGTTTTTGCAGCGCTTTGCATCTGTTCTATATCTGTGTGTAGGGGTTCGTAGCAGGCAGACAGGAGGCGTTGCATAGTGATATCCGTTTGTGTTCTGTTGTACATCTCTCACCGTCTGATTTCCAGTTTGTGAGCAATTTCCTTCCTGAGCAAGTGTTTCATGGCTGCTGACAGAACAGAATGGTGGGAGTAATTGGGAGAGAGCCTTCTCAGCTGCTGCTAGGCAGCCACAGCTCACTCTGGAGCTCTTAAAGTGTGTGCGTGTGTGACAAATAATTGTTCATCTCTGTCCAGAAAAAAAACAACTCATCTCAGGTCAAAGCAGTTGTCCATGTTAATTTGTCCCTTGACGATTTGTTGATGCTCACGGTGTGTTTATTTGCAGCAGGCAGTCCTATACAAAGAGGCTCCTTTCGCCAGTTCTGCTGTCAGTGTCGTTTTTGTAAAATGCTCCATCAAATGTAATTGAAATGCTTTACAAGTGCATCCACACTTGTAAAGCATCACATGGAATTATTGTCTTTACTGTTAGGTTAGTGTGTAATTCCCACAATAACACTACCAGTCCATAACATCCAACATCAAAGTGTGATAACCAATCCCTGCACAGAGCCCTGGGTAAAGCTGTTAAAGCTTATCCACAAACGTGTAAATAACTTCTGTACATGGTGATCCTTTTGCCATTTCCTGTTACATTATCCACCCTCCTTGTAAAGGTTTATTCTGTTATGAAAGGAACAGCTACAAAGTATGTAAGTTACCATAAACAGGTTTAATAAGTTTACATACAATTATAGTTTTATAAATCCAACTACAAAATCAAATTGCTTTCAGAGGATATGTTACACAACTTAATTTCACAATTAAACAAAGTATGTTTCGCAACAGATTACCACATTCCAGTCAGATTTATGAAACGGGGAAGCATTAGTTAATAGTGCAAACACAATGGAAACCTTATAAACCCTACCTCGGCTATAAACTATCTACACTCGATCCTTGCCTATCATTAATCTGTCAGTTGTCATCAAAAGATACATTTCACTTTGGGATTTGGACTTCAAAGAAATGTAAAAGAAAAGTAGCCAGAATGTTTTGGTATCTCTTTCAGCTAGAAGGCAAAGTCATTGCTTCTCTGTACAGAAACATGCATGCCACTCTTTCTCTTGATTGTGTTTTGGAGTCAAGATACAAGTGAGCAACGTTTTGGTTGACAGTGAGAAGTTCTAAGGTATAAAACAAACTGAAGGCTCCTGGTACAACCTCCAGACAAAAAAAACAGACCTATGAGAGGAGCTGGGTCACATAACTGCAAACTCCATATTGCTACAGGGATGACTTTATTTTAAGGCTATCCCAGAAGTAAGCATTGCCCTGGTTAATGGTTTTTGGGATTGTCGCAGAAAAGAAGAACTGTCACTAACAAAACCTAATGATACCTTCACGTTTTGTTTAAAGCTAACCATTGACTTTAAGACGAGGGAACTCATTTCCAGGTTTAAGGACTCATTCCAGCAGCGCTCTAATGATGGGGATTTATCACAGTGTAATTGCTTCAAGCCTTTTACTAAGGAAGAGAAAGTAAGATACATCTGATACAAGGAATCCTGAGGAGAGGACAAAGTACATTTCCCAACACTAACTTCTGAGTGTGTTGGGGCACTGCCATGGAGTCACGCTGACGTCATGTGACAGTCCTTAAGATGGCAAGGAATCAGCTGAACATGGCAGAGAGCTCCCACCTCCCCGATTCAGAGAAGGGGCTCTGGCTCGAGGCATCATCGTGCCTTGGTCCATCTATAGAGACAGATAATGGATCATTTCAGCACACGTGACAAAGAAAGTAGTGGTGTAAATATTGTCGATTCACTCACCTTAGTCAGACCCTTGGCAATCAGGGCAATTTCAGTAGGCTGGTACAAACAACTTCGTAGCTGACCATTATAAGCACCATATGGAGACACTGGTTTTGTGGGTACTGGTAACAAAAAAGGTGGATGAGGATATAAATATAAGCGTTTGTTGTGATGGTCTTCTAGTCCATTACTTAATAGTTTTAGACTTAATGATCTCCACATTAAAACATGTCAAAGACATTGTTTAAACATTACGGTCTCTGAAGCAACACACATCACTCAAACTGGCCAGCTAATTGAATCAATATTTGCTGCCTCTTAGGATAAATGGGAAGCCTTGCGCACATTTGATATTGTAAAACCTTAAATGCATGCTCGAACAGTTTTCCTTATGTTTACTAACCCTATACTCTTCCTATCTAGTTTCTGTTTGGCTCATGCTCTGCCAGCGGCATTGAACCTCATCTGAGTAGTGTTTAGTATGGTGATGTATAAAAAGTAGTTAATGATTGTATGCCAATGTAAAACCTCCAAGCTATGCAAATACATGACATTTTAAAGAATATGTAACTGTTATGTTGGTGTGCCTCGTAATGTTGGCCAATGACACAACCCTCAATAAGTAGACTTTTGTCCTAAAAATGGGGGTATGCTTCCTGAATGGCACTTTTTCTATTTGATCCTATAAGTAGTTTTCTATTTGCAGTGGCACACACGAACACAAGTCTCATTCAGGTCAATGCCAGAGAGAACGAGGCATGTCACAATACAGCTTTTATATCAATAACACATTTGCATGGAAGGCCATAAGTAACCACCCTTTAGCAACACATTAGACAGCTACAGTACACAGCAAAACTATTGCTACCCTTAGCTGTTCTTGCGAAATAGGAATTACAACATTCATTAATTGCGTATTTTCCTCTGTTACTAGAGGCAGTAGCAGATTAACACTTTTTACCATTATCTACATTCTACACGGTTGCGCTTTATTATGTGAATTATTTACTTGTGTTTGGTTGTATGACTGCTGCAAGCTGAAGAAAGGGGGCTGCCCTTATGTGCAAGTTTAAACCATTTAATTGGATTGCTGTCTTGATGTTTTTTTTGTTTTTTGAAAGATTCTGCCCCCATTCAAATGTATTGGACTAATGGCGTCCGTAATGTGTCATGCTTTACCTGCCGGAGGCTCGTCCATTGTGAAGGCTTTATTCTCCATGTACACATTCTGGTGGGGTGTCTCCGGCTCTTTCAGGATGTTGTCATAAACCAGGCTTCTGGCAGGATAAACATGATCTCCATCGACTGGCAGCTCCTGATCTGGGTCCTCCTGGGTCAGTAGGCAGATTTCTGGGATGGCATAGAGGAAAAGGAACACCCATGCATTTGACACTACAGCTATGGCCAGAGTAGGATCATCCCAGCTGGGATTCCCGACGACCCTGTTCCCATGGATGTACATGACAATCCAAGTTACCCAGATAGCCAAGGTGAAGATCCCGGTGACTAGGATGAAGGCTCCATCTCGGCGCCACTGCTTGTGCTTGTGTGTCAGTGAGGGCACAGCGATAAGCACCGCAGCTATCACCAGAACCATCACATAGACAAGTGCGCTCACAAAGTCCTGGTTGGCAATGTTACAGGACACATCAGGGGTCATGACACCTCCAGGTCCAGGTGGGCTCCTCAAAACAGTGATGATAAGCCACTCAGTGTTGATGATGACCTCAACCATCCACAGACCCAGGGCTCCCAGGCATAACATCCAGCTCCTGGGACCCCTGTCGCTACGCTTCAACAGGGCGAGCCATAACCCATGCATCACCAGGCAGGCTAGACATCCTGAAAACAGCACTCCAAAGAGAAACCTCCGTGCAGCACAGTTGATGGAGTACTGACCCACAATAAAGGCAAAAGTGAGTCCAAAGAGTCCCAAAGTGAAGACTATAATGCCGGCCTGCAGAGCCACCATACCCTTCCTCTTCTTGTCTGTCACAAACGGTATGCTGGCCATGAGGATGACCAAGAGAATGAAAGAAGTCACTATACCAGCAGCAGCAACAGCCTCCACCACGACCCCCCACACTGTGGTCAGGTCACACAGGTTGTAATATACGGAGCTGATACTTGAGCCACATCCCTTTGGAGCACTGGTCGGCTCCATGGCTTTAATGTTCAAAAGGTGCTGCAACAGAATAAATATTAAACGTGCAAACATCGATATTTTTGATATGCAAAACAATTATTATTTGCAGTTCAATGGGATTCATAGACTAGTATTTGCATCCATGATTAGTATGGAAAGACAAACTACTGACTTTCATACATCCATCAAAACAAATTGTTCCCATTAATATTACTATGTCATGGCGCAGTAAAGGTTCTTGACTATACTGAGCCAGTTGTGGTAGTCTTACTTTTATAGCCTACCTAATTGCTGTCAACTTAAATTAATTAATTTGAGTCTGGAGAATCCAAAAATATACAGAAAATAGTTTTTCATAACATGTTCTCAGTCTAGCTTTCCAATTTTCAGCAGTATCATTTTAACATTATAGGCGCAATGTATTTCAGAAAACTATGAAAATAGCGTTAAACTGATCGAAGGACAGTGTCACGTTATAGCCTACCGCTCATTTCAAAATGTAGTGATTTAGTCTTAACGCTTAACACAAGCCTTTAAGTGCACTACTCCCGTGCATATGATAAATAAAGCATATCAATTGAATTATCACAATAAGCTCATGGAAAGTTAACAGTCTGAACAATGTTCACGTTTAAATATTTTGTAAATGGCGCATTAAAAATGCAACAATTATTTTTGATAACATAATCATATTCGGTAACACAATTTAGGAAGTATTGGATGAGGCGGATATTGCTATCCGTCAGGGGCTTCTTACCTGGACTGAAGGCAGAGAGCAGTTCCTCTCGAGCTGCAGGTAAGAATAACCAAACCCGAAAAAAGAGAGTTCCCCTCGGGTGTTTTAAGGGCTCTTGGGAGATGTTACAATTACAACCAATTTCGTAGCGTTTAAATGTTCACTTCATGGATCCACGTTTCTTTCCGGTAACAATCATGGACAGTCCTCCATCTGCCCACTCCTTCTGAATTGTTATTGAACCATGTTATAATGCAGTCAGCGGCATTAGAGTAGTTGTAAGGTAGGTTATTATTGAATACACTCTGCTCAAACTATGACTGTTCGTCCAGCCTCTTTGGTGCTTGCAGCTTTGCATATTCTGTGAGATTAACATCCGGCCTACTTATTTTATATCAGGCAGTTTACACCCAAACAAAGGGACCACTCATCTCTCAAGTGAGACATTTCCACCTGTATACAGCATGTTCGACATGGTCTGAGCTGTGACCTGTTTGACATGAACACACTTTGATTTCAATGATTAATAATGTATTATCATTCGTTTGGTAATTAGATCATTTATTTGATTGGTTTCCTTTGAATTCATCATCTATAGCAGCCTATACTTTCAGTTGTATAGAGGGAATAGGCCCACATACAGTTGTTCAATAAAACAAAAATGTTAATATAAATACACTCAATAAAAATCAATGAAGAAAAATAGGCACAAGGGATGAAACTGACAATATAAAAACACAATGAAGTAACCTTTACAACCAAGCCTATAACATTGTTCCACATTAACAGCTAAATAAAAAACAACTTGATTTTAGTTTAGAAATACTAAATAAGCCACCAGTCTCATATCCAGAGGCAGTGAGTTCCACATGGGAATAACAACACAAGGTACTCTCCCTGGTTATTTTATGGGATGTCAGTTAGGCTACAGTATTACTTTAAACATAAATCATGCATATTGAGAAATTTCTACTTGACTGTACTTTCCCTTTTCAAGGATACACTTCAGCATCATCAGATGGGAGGCTGAGCCTACAGTTTTGCAGAGCCACCTGGTGGAAAATATGTTTACAGGACGGACTCCTGTGCTTCATCTCAATTCAGAGAGCACAACGAATCAGCTTCGGTTAGGGAACTGTTTTAGGCCATTCCACTTAATAACCAGATAAGAACGGACCGTGACCGATGACATTGAAATCAAATTAAGAAATAGCCCTGTAATGTGAAGCTCTGGGAGTCTGAGAGAATCATAATCTTTGGTATTGTGCCTAGAAACTGAATTATTCAGTATTGGTTGCTCTTGTATGTCATATTGTAATCACCAAAGGCAACCCACAGTCCTTTTTATATATATGTTTACATGTATTCCGTCTTATTTTAACTGTGTGCTTGTTCTCCCCAACTTTTCAGATATTAAAGTTCACAAAACGTCACTCATGTCTTCCTCATTCCTGCAGTTGTGAAAAGCAGTGACCACACAGAAATAGGCCTAATAATAAAAGTGCAGTTTGGCATATACAATTACATTTTTTATATTAATTAGACCAAACAGGATTTTGTGAAATGTGTGTTTATATCAGAAGCCATATGTGTCACATTTTGAAGACCTGGTTATTTAGTGCATCCCCTTCGTGATCAGCACAAGAGTAAGGTCACCGAGGACACCTTACTAAAACACTCTGGCATTTAGCCTGTACTAAACGTACTGTTGTGGTACCCTGTGGTGCATCGATCCCTCAATGGATCCAGTCCCGAGGGGTTCTCTCACAGACCCGGCAGCTCGTCAATCCATGCCTTTGCATAGCATGTTCTTAATAGCATCTGATCAAAGGAGAAAGCAATGTGACCTTCATGAAGGGCATGCCCTTTTCAGAAGCACACAATAATAGAGCTTTGGATTGATTCTGTTTTTATTGTGTAGCTTAACAACAGTTGCCTAATCGTGTATATAGCTTTACTTTGTGCTCTAAACTTTGTGATCTAAGCCCAATAAATGTGTGTTTACATTCAAATTACAATTATTTTGTCACCTACCACTGTGGCAGGTCACTGAATATTTCTATGAGGAACTGCAAAGTGTCTGCTAACTCTGAAATCTATTTAGAGGACTTTAGAATTGTGAAGACTGAGTCAGTGTTGTAAGGGAGTTGAATGACATATATCATAATTTATTCAATTACTTACTATTTGTATTCAGGATTTCTTTAAAAAATAGAATTCCTTATATAAGGGAAGATACAGTATATGGTGGCAGGTGAGCTGAAAATTGGGCCTCCCATAGCCAACATTTACTTTGTATATGTGACAGGCACTGATTTAATTTCCCTATATATGTAGACAGAGAAAGAGATATAGAGAGATGATGTTCAGCAATATGTTCAGTATCACATCCCTAAAGACTCATAGCATTCATAATATACCTCATGAATCTTCTTTTATGTTTATCTATATTATGTTCCTGAAAGTAAAACAAACAGGAGATGCCACCATACAAATAATATGATGCTTTGTCTTTTTGTTTAGTGCGGTTTCTTGCAGCAGGCTTCATTATGGCACCTCAGCCGCAGCACTCTCCTCTGTCAGGTTATTCATAGCAGTGGCTCAGGTTGGGGTCTAGGACGTCTCTTCTACATTTTTACTGCAGCCTGCCAGCCCCCGGGGCATCAACACAACCTAATTCACTCTGGAACAATTTCTCTTCTTGTCTGTCTCTATGCAGTGGGCATGGTAGATTTTGAGCTATTTTAAACACATCTGTCACATTGCAGCATGTTAGTATACATATTGTGATTGGACTAATGGCCTAGTTAGATAAAGATTTTTTTTAAACAAATATCAGATCCATACTAAGCTCTTCTTTTTGAGAAGGTTTTAACCAGGATCTCAGTATTGACTGACCCTTCTCTAAATGACAGATCAATGCTAACTGAGGGATAGATCACGGCCTGTACAAATGGCTCTGGCTACATCTTTATGAGCCCTGATGACCAGGGGGTCTGTTGTTGGCAATGCTGCCATTTTACAGTGAAACGTTTGTTGTACTGTATTTTTACTGCAGCCTGCCAGCCCCGTGTATTATTGCTATCCTGGCTCCAAAATGGTGGAATGAGCTCCCCATTGACATCAGGACAGCAGAAAGCTTACACACCTTCCGGCGCAAACTGAAAACTCATCTCTTTCAACTCCACTTCGAGCGATAGAACTATTAACAAAGCACTTATATACTAATAAAGGGCTGGCTTATCTAAAGCCAGTTGAGTAGCACTTGAAATGTTTTTGCTCTATGAAGCCTGATGTACTTATATGATTCTGTTTTCTTCAAGTTGTATTTTGTTGGTCGAACGCACTTATTGTAAGTCGCTTTGGATAAAAGCGTCAGCTAAATGCAATGTAGTAGTAGTATTTTGCTAGGATGTGTAGTTCTCTCATGTCATTTGGCTCACTTTCAGTAGCATTTCATATTGAATATCAGCACTCTGAAGTTAGGATGTTCCCTGCAAGCAGCAGACAGTTAGCTGCATATCCAGCCGGAATTTGAATCTAAATAAACCCATTGGCCTTTTTAACATTTGTGATGCAGACACTACAGTGTACACTGAATTTTTTTTGGACTATATAAAGTAATGAATGGCAGTTGATTTCGACAAACAGTCATTGCCTTTAATTGATGATCAGATCCAGCACCAAGTATATCCCTCTCATTAGCAAGATTAACATGCCATCACAGGAATAATTGCTCTTTGCTGAAAAAAAGTCCAGCTAAATGGATGACTGACTGCAGCTCGTCACACATATTAGAACCTAAATTACCTTTGACAGGCTCAGTGGCAACCTACTGTAATTGACAAATTATACGACTCTAATTATAGCTACTTAGAAGTCATAAACAACATTTTGCAGTCCAGATATTTGGGGCATCCTGAGTGCCATTAAAACATGAAACTGAGTTGATATTGATTGTTAATAGTGGCCTAACCTCCCTGACTTTTAGACAAAAATAAATAAATGAAAACCATTAAGCTGAGTTTTTGGCTGGCCCTGTGCCACTGATCAATGCCATGTAACATCCAAAAAGGAGATTTTGAAAATCAAAGCTGTCGCTATAGCAACGCCCCTGCCAGATTCCACCAATCAATGGAGTCTGTTGGGTTGTGAGATGCGCCAGGGAAAGGCCAGCGTCCTACATAAAGAGTGCGGGACAGGGAGTCGGGCGGCACACTCGGGGCAACACACTTTTCTGCACTCACACGACAAAGGCACCGCAGCAAGAAGAAAAGTCAGGAGAAGAGTGGCACAGGGTAAGGAAGACTAGGGGAAAGGAAAAAGAGAGGAAGAGAGTAACTGAGAAGATATGGTGCGCTCCTGTGAACAAGGGATCCCTGCCTGGGTCGCTGTGGGCACCCTGCTCTTCTTAATCCACTCTGTCACAGTCAGAGGAGGTAAGATAAGAAATAGCATGAGTACTTCCAATTGTTTGCTTTTACAGAGTTATATCAACTTCACATCCTGTTTTTAGTGCCTTACAGTTTAAGAGAAGCTGTTTTGTTCTATTTCAGTTCAGCTTCCCCCATATTGTCAGTGGGTAGTAGGGCACGGCATGAATAGTGGCTTGTGCTCAGCCTCAGAGCAGGGGTTGAGTATTATTTATCTAGTCTACTTGTTCTGTCCTCAGCTCTGTCTGCCGGGTGCAGAGAAAGAAAGACAAGTCCATTTGCTGCCTGGCTTTGTGCCGGCTCAGTAAAACGGTATAAGGTATAAGCTCCGAGGTGATGCTCTTCTTGCCTCTTGAAGAAGATCAGACTTTACCGATTTTGACCAAAGCTATTGAAGGCCACATTTATGTGCTGTCAGATAAGATTTCATTTGAGATTCCTCATGGACACATTAATCTTATATTTAGGAACTGTGTATTTTTATTTTCAGCTTCAGTGAAAAGGACACTGAAACAGCCTTTATTCATAACTTGTTTGTCCTTTTTAGAATTTTTCTCTCAGATATTTGAAAAATCTGAAATAAAAAAACTGTTTCCCTAGGTGTGATTAATTAATTGTTCCAATTGGATGTGGTGTGCCATAATCATTTATAAAAACACCCCCCCTCACCATGCTCAGCTGGCACATGGTGCTGGCTGCATAATTGGAAGAAGGTTACTTTGAAGTAGGGGCGCTTGATTGTGGTAGAGATATGGGAGACCTTCCAGGGATCCAATGTGCTCCCCCTGTGGCTTACCCCCAGTTGCAGGCCGACTGACGGCTGTGGCAGAATGGAAACAGCAGCTTGTCACTCTCAGTCTTTTCATGTGTGATTCTCCAGTAGGGGCTTCTTGTACTTGTGCATAAGAGGGCCCATAGAAGCAGCAATCTGCAATGGCACTGCAAACTCAGGATTATTTTCTGAGCACTTATAGTGCCGGATGTTTTCTGACTCAGTCACTTGGCTTGTTCTCATCGATTGAAACCAGAAAAATAGATGGACGTGCAAATCTGTCTTTTCCCAGATACATATTTTCAGTTGTGGTTTTGTCGATGTGTTACGGAGTGCTTGCTGTCTCAAATCTGATTTAAGCTGTTGATCATGAACTCGGCTGTGAATTCTTGAAATGCAAAGTCAGGCTGATGCAAATTACATTTAACAAAATAAGAAATAATGCAGGTGCTAATGATTGAAAACAATCTTGTAATATCAGAAAAATTGTTTATATTCTTTTTAATGCTAATACATCAGATTTCCTCTGGCTTTGCATATTCATGGTTGTATTCCTGTTAAGTGCTGCTAGTCCATCATATTGCACTTTATTTCCACAGCTGCCCTGAAGCAGGAGGTACCATTGGACAGTGGGGCCACGGTGCTGAATCACTCCATGAGTATGGTGCAGCGAATGGAGAGCCTGCTGGCCCTAGGGAACAGCAGTGATGTCACTCTCCGGGTGCAGACCATCAACACGGACGAGGTGAAGGTGATCCAGGCCCACAGCCTGGTTCTCACGCTGCAGAGTGAGGTGTTTGAGGAACTGCTGCTTAGTCGCAACAACAGCTATTTGCTTTTGAGGGAAACGCCTGATTGTGCAGCTGTCTTTGACAAGTTTATCAGGTGAGGGTGAGGTGTAATCATTTGTTCAGATTTAATTAGGTTTTATTAGGTTAAACTTATTAAAACCATTATATAATCTCGGCAGCTACTTGTAGATGTTTTTGATCTTCACTCACCATTTTGTCTCTCCGTTGGAGAAGTGAGATACTCCATCTTGTGAAATATTCTAAAATTACACCTGCTGTTTGAGGCTGACGGTTAAAAACGGAAAGTGTGGGTTTATTCAGTGACTCAGATGTGAGAAGGAAAACAAAGATGTATTCCTTATTGAAAGATATACTATTTTTAGTCTTTCAAAAATATCTGTTGATGACTATTGCAGCTTTGTTTTTCTCTTCTAGGTATCTGTACTGCGGTGACATCTCAGTGCGGCTAGATCAGGCTGTTTCTCTGCATAAGCTGGCCAGCAAGTATCGAGTGTGGGGCCTTCAACAGGGTCTAACTCAGTTTATGACCCAACATCTGTCTAGTGATTCACCCACAGGCCATGTGATTGGCTGGTACAACTATGCATTACAAATGGGGGACATGGTCCTGCGGGACAGCTGCCTGCAGTATCTGTCCTGGAACCTGTCCTCTGTGTTTCAGAGCGCAGAATGGAGCTCCATAAGTGAAGACCTGCTCTTTTCCTTGCTCCAGCGCTCTGACCTCATTCTGCAGAGTGAGCTGGAGCTCTATGAGGCCCTGGAGGCCTGGATCAGCCAGAACCAGCCTGTCAGTTCAACAGTGGAAAGTGCCCTAAAGGCTGTTCGATACGGCATGATCCCCCCTCATCACCTATTCCGTCTTCAGAAGCAATCCCCCCTCATGCAGAAGCATTACGAGTCTATCCGAGATCTACTCTACTTAGCTTTCCAATTTCACTCCGCCTCACCTATCCAACTGGCAAAGTTCTTTGATGTTAACTGCAGTATTTTCACTCCCCGTAACTACCTGTCCACATCCTGGGGTTCCCCTTGGGTTATCAATAATCCCACCCGTGATGACCGCAGTTTCAGCTTCCAAACCCAGCTCGGGCCCAGCGGCCATGACTCCAGTAAGCGAGTGACCTGGAACGCCCTCTTCTCCCCTCGCTGGCTCCCACTCAGTGCCAGGTCAACCTACACTGAGCTGGGTGCCATGCAGCCTACACGCACAGATGGTGGTCGACCTCGCATTATTGTAACACCAGCCACTTCCAGCCCAGACTTTGCTGGTGTTAGTTTCCAAAAGACGGTGATCGTGATGGCAAGACAACAAGGAAAAATTGTGGTTCGCCACGTCTACAACTTCCACCAGAGCACTGAGGAGGCTGGGGATTTCTTGGTGGATGCTGACCTGCAGCGACGTGCATCAGAGTACCTGATTGATAGCTCCCTCTATCTGCACATTGTAATAAAACCTCTCTACCATACCCTCCTTGTTGCCAGGAAATAAAAGCAGTGATGTGTGTGGCCTTACCATACGTAGCCACCATTCACCCACACAATCACGTGCACATATTCCAAAGTAAACTCATATCACAGCACATGTTTATGCATCAGGTCTGTGACATCTATATTTGGTAAGAAGGTTTTTTTTTGTAACATACAAAACTATTACAGCTTAACTATCACAATAACAATAGTGGTTTTCAGTATTTCATGCTTACTAAGAAAAAAACATTTCATGTACTGTATTTTGCTCAAAGTATTGTAGTCCAGTTGTTTCCCTTGAATTACTTGAATCCATGTGATGGTTAATGTTTTTTCATAGGTACTAGAGAGGTTTTGCTTTAAAATAAGATGTATTGCTTTTATTTTTTCTCATTCGACTTCTCAGCAACCAAATGTAGATTTTAGTTAAATGCACTTATATGACATACCCTTATATAGCCTACTTTCCTACCAACATGTGTTGATTAAACTTAAATCAATGTATTGGTGTTCCTTTACTTAGTTGACTATTGCAAGACAGTGAGTTCTTTAGTATTCTATTGTTTTTTTATTACCTATTGATACATAATGCATTGTGTCTTACTTTTAATAAACTGCACCAGTATTTGAAGTTCATCCTCCAACAAATAAAATAAAAACAATTTAAAATGAGTATTTCTGTGTTGAGTGGTTTGCCCTTCAAATATAAAATCTACGATATCGTAGTTAGTGTCATATTTGTATTTGAAAAATCTCGCTTTATTTACGGAGCAAGTGCTCACACGATACAAACTACTTATCCCATGATGCATAGCACGAAACAGGAAATACGTCATTACGTCGTTGGAACCTTCAGCTGTCAGACTTTGGCCACCCTAAAAGTGGAGGTTTTGTTAGCAAACTAACTCGAACTGTTCAACCCGCGCAGACTTTATTTAAAGTTGTGCATCCATCTGCGGATTGATCTTTGAACGCGCCAGCTGGTGATTGTAGCACTGAGATTGCACGAAGACGAACTGTTTAGTTTTAATCGCTGCTAGTTTTTGCACAAGCCAGCGATCCTGAGCGGGTGTAAGGCTAGATGCAGGGAGGGAGGGAGTAAAAAAAGGCAAAAGTCTTTGTGCTTCCCTTCCCCCTCATCAAAGCAAAGGGGAAATGTCTCTGTCTAAAGGAGGTAAGTGGTGTTTTTCCACTCTTTTTTAAAAAGTAACTGTGCATATACTAAATTTAAGACGTGTAGTTTGCGTGGAAGTAATTTAGCTAGCTATGTTTCAGAAATGTAACCTTGCCAGGTGGAAAGCTGCATGTATGAGGGGAGAAAAAAAATAAGCTAGCCAGCATGTCTTTCCTGCTTTCTATCATTATGCGAAGTCTCTGGACACACTGCTGTCTGAAGGTATTCATCGTAGACTTACTGATATTGTACTAACTTATAGTTTTTACTATTAATATTTTAGCTAAATGCTTCACTCGTGTCCTCGTTTAACTTCCCGTGTTGTGATAAGCTAACACCGTTTTCACGACAATAAAGGACTTTTGCCAAACTGTAATTCAGAACCAACCTGCCCTCAGCTGGGAATCACCGCGCTGCCGGGATTAGTTTCTCCCCTACGATAAAGTGGGACCACAGGTGTTAATATTTTCCGACCTCCTGACTCATGACTGCTCGTTTGGGGTGAAGTTATTTTGCTTTGGCAAGTGTGTTGGCGCACAAATATTTTTAGCACTGCGACCAACTAAATGCATTTTTTTTCCGTCGGTGGAAATTGTTGTTTTATTTTAAAACAGGCGGCGAAGCTAAGAAACCATGGCGCTATCACACACTTCCGCCAGTCAGTCATTGCGTCTGTGTAATCAGCGTACACTGTTGAATAAAACACACACCTTGGAAAAATCAAGGTCCTTCCTCTGCGTCAAACACACACACACACACACACACACACACACACACACACACACACACACACACACACATTATGATGATGTCAATTTACATTTCAAGTTCACCGCTTGTGCTGTTACACAATCATACTAGCGTTACCATGGTCGGGAGTACACACTGTTGTGTACTCCCGGCTGTGTAGATTGGTGCTTCTGCTCAGGCAATCACAGCCTGTGGCCTACCATGGCATGTTTTGACTTGCAGCACCAATACCTTGTGCAGCCTCTCTTTGTTGACAGTTCACTAGCTGCAAGCAGATTCTCTATAGCTGCCACACTGGTTCTGTGCTGTAATTACTGTGTGCACTGATAGGTCTTTGTGTTTTTTGTTCTCTCTCTGGCCACTACATGATTGTGCCTTCCGTGGTGAAGGAAGGAGCGGGCCTGAGTGCATTGAAGGGCTTTCCATGGTATTGCTGAGGCATGTTTGGAGATTGGGTTCCCTCTAACGGCATTGATAGGGTTGTGTGGAAGATTATATGAGCATGAGTCATCCTTTTTCTGTATATGGACCCACTCTGAGGCGGGAGCTTCCTGATGGTGACTAGCCACACAGCTATTGACATTTTGATCTCATGCACGATCCTGGAATTCTTGTTCACATTACGCACTGCACCGTGGATAGTTTCCACTGAACATCTTTTGGTTTTCTAAGAACTGCTGCATTTCCTGTCGAAGCGCACCAAGCCACTGCTTCTCTCACAAGTAGATGATACTGATAACTCCAACACAGCATCAGTAGAACAAGATGGACACAATGATCAATACTTGCAATTAAAACACTGTAGCTTAAGAAAACGTTTCCTATGTAAAGACAAATACAGGTTGTGGAGATGTTAGAATGCGACTTGGCTTCATTGCACACATTGATATTAACATTATTGTTCATTGTATACAACCAACTATGCCGTGAATAAAGAGCAATCTCTGGGAAATGGCATTTGTTAACGTGATATACTCTTGACTGCAGCTGAGGCTCTGTGTCCTGTCAAGCTTAGTGCGAGGGCCAGTTGCAGCAGAAAGCTTTCTGAAGCTGGCCTCGTTGGCCCTATTGGGGACAGCGAGCAGCGGGAAGCAAGCAGGCCAAGTGAAGTGACATCATATTTCCCAAAAGGTCCTGACAGTTGTGTTTTAGGCGGATGTGTCCAGTCTGGCTGTGAGTCATATTCCAGCAAACACTTGCAGCTTGCCTTCAAATACTGCTACCTGAATGGAGTTATGAGTATTTGAAATCCATTCATATTTCACAGTAAATAAGTCTTGCAGTAACTATGACTTCATTGAAACAAAACACTGCATAGAGTGAAAGATAGTTTGGCAGATATCTCAAATAGCTTAAACTGTTGTTGTACTTCCCTACGATGTTCGCATGCTAACTAATTTTGGTCCATGAACAAAAGACTGTCTTATTTGTCAGGTCATCAGAAATCTTTGAGTGCTCTTACTTTATCCCACGCAGAGGAAATGCAACATCTATTTTTGACTGAGCATGTGTGAGTAAATCACACTTCAATCTCTCCCTACCACATGAGACTGCCGTAGTCTGTCCAGACACTGGAGGCCTATTTTAGGGCTGCAGCACAAAATGGACCTGTCTGATGTTTCAGTGGTTGGCCATAAAATCTAAAAATCTTTGTTAAACTTCACTTCCCCTCCAGCTTAATCTAGCAAGGAGGGGTTTACCCAACTTACTTCCTCCACACTGGAGTATTGTGACTCACTCGATGGCAAACACAACCCAACAGAATGAATAAGAGCTGTTGCATTTGTTCTAAAGTGAAAGTGTTTGTGCATGAAACCAGTTTCTCTGAACTGGAGTAGAATAATTGCACAGCCTGTCCTGAGCCTGCAGCAGTACCAGAACAGGAAATAAACAGCCAGGACTGAAATGTTTCTCATCATATCCCTGTGGGTGGGAACATTTAAGCACACGGAGGTAAAGGTCAAGAAAAGGGTTCTATTTTTCCTGTTGACCTTGCAACAAGAGCTCACATGCTGAACTCAAGTGTCCGTGTCAAGAAAAGCGGAGTTGTTTTTGCTTTGTTGCTACTCGTAGGCCCGGTAGCTGTGTCATTCTGGCAGGGACTTGCAGCCTCTTGTGGGAAGTCCCAGAGGCTTCTGGTAAATGGTGTTTATGAATGGACTGCTGTCACTGATTCAACACAGAAAAGGTCCAGGAAGTGCAGTTTACCGCACTATAATCAAGAATTTTAAAACTATGGAAAAAAAACATTGATGGGGGGGTTTGATAAGAATTATAGTATCAGTACAAATAAAAAAAATCTTCCCCTGCACCTGCCTTTTTTCCATTCGAGTCATCATACCAATGTCCATTTGAGTCATCATACCAACCTCAGCTTTGAGTACACCTAATCTCCTGATAACCGATCACCTGCTGCAGGTTATGGCAAATGAGGCAACTTTATTGAAACCTTGAAAAACCTATTACTACCAGAATAGAATAAAATTCCCCTTCAATACATGGATGGTGTGAAAACAAGTTAATTGTGCACTTAATAGCCTAAATTAAAATGTAAAGCAAGCCTCCTCTCCACACTCGGGCACAAGCGGTGTGGCCATTTGCCCTAGTCCTTTATAAAACTCAGCTAATTATACTACTCTGTTGCTCCTAAATATCGATCACTGTATGACTATCACGACGCTGAGATGGTAATGGTTTTCAAATTTCTTGTCTCCAAGGGAAGAAGAAGAACCCTGGGCTGAAGCTGGCCAAAGAAGTGTTTGCACAGCCCCCCCCAGCAGCAGCAGCGTAAGGCTTCTCTTTACAATGGGTTAGAGCAAGAACATTGAAATGGCTTCAGCCTGGTATTGACTTATTGCATCTAATAGAGATACTTTGGGTAAACATCTTTCACTGTTGCTATGTGCATATGTACCGTTCAGTTTATTTATTTATTTTTACCGTTTTGTTGTATTCTATTTATGTGCAATGCTCGTCTACATGCAAAGAAAGAAATGACGTCCAGAAATGCAGACATTTAACACTGACTTCAACTTTATCTCATCATTTATAAATAAACATGCACAATTTATCTTACAGTGTGAATATTCATTACTGAGCATTATAACATGTTCTTCCTGTCTTAACCTTGCTCTCTCCCTGCAGGCCGCCTAGAGATCTTGACTCGAAAGCTTGCGTCACAATCGGAGACCAGGTAAGATTAGCTATGGTTTCCCGAGGGCACCGAGCCTTCGCAGCAGCTGGCCCCAGGCTCTGGAACACTCTGCCCCTCCATGTGAGGTCGGCCCAGACCTTAGGGTTTTTTAAATCTACTCTTAAAACACACTTCTTCTCCCTGGCCTTTTAGTCAGAGCGGAGCACGACTCCTGACTTTTCCCTGTGTTTTTTATATATCTGTTCTAATTGATTGTCTTTTATTGTGATTGTAGTATTTATTACATGTTCAACACTTTGGCCCGACCAAAAATCGCTTTTAAATGTGCTTTATAAATAAACTTTGATTTGATTTCCCTGACACATGCGACTATGCCTTTCTCTCCTGAACATGTACATTAATACAACTTCTGCCTCGTTCCTCTAGAACTTTGTGGTGAAGGCAGATGACTTGGAGCAGATTGGAGAGCTGGGCAGGGGGGCGTACGGCGTGGTCGACAAGATGAAACATGTGCCCAGCGGTGTTATCATGGCTGTCAAGGTGGGCTGGGGGGGGCCGCTTCTCGGGTTACCTGATCTGTTAACGCACCGTGCTTTTTAAAATAGTACCATGACTCATAGATGTATTCAAGATATGAGCTCAACTTGTAAACATTTGGATGAGATCTATCCGATCCATAATATGCTATAGTGGGGAGGGGGGGGACACAGTTTGATTTTCAAGATGTTCTGCCCTCTGATGACACCTAACTAAGCATCTTTGAGCATTAGGAAAAACAGCCAAAAAATCTAATGTATTATTATTATTAATGTGTAATGTTTGCGTCCCCAGAGGATTCGTGCCACCGTCAACACGCTGGAGCAGAAGAGGCTTCTGATGGACTTGGACATTTCTATGAGGACAGTGGACTGCTTCCACACCGTCACATTCTACGGTGCCCTCTTCAGAGAGGTGAGCACACAAGGACTGTCATGGACTCCTGCAGGTGTTGCGTTGTGTGTGTGTGAGCATCCTGTTTTAAATTGTTGGGGGACATCTTTTTTTCTTTCAGGGGGATGTCTGGATCTGCATGGAGCTGATGGACACGTCTCTGGATAAGTTCTATAAGAAAGTTATCGAGAAAGGCAAAGACTTCCCAGAGGACATCCTGGGCAAGATCACAGTAGCAGTACGTCCTGTCCCATATTTTTCACTATTAGTGTCACCAGTGATGGGGTTGTTACTCAAAAAAAGTAATATATTACTCATTACTTTAAATAAAAGTAATATATTACTTTACCTCATTACTCTTTACATTACTTTTGCGTTACTCAGCAACAGCCAAAACTTAAAACTTAGGCCTACATGTGCACACATATAACAATTACTATTGCAATAAGGAAGACATAACACAAGTTAATAACGGTGAAAATTCTAGTTGTTGCTGCTTGTTCGGAGTCGGCACACACTCAACATCATCCCTCTGGGTATGGGGGTCTTTAGCTACTAGCTTCGTGTTAGCATGCTGCCTCTGCAGGTGTTAGAGAGGTTTGATGTTGTGTTTGCAGCAGTGCACCTTACCGTCACATTCCTGTCCTCTCTTCTGACACATTTAAAATAATGAGCATACCTCCACCCCTCGAAAGTTATAGCTGTTGATGTTTCTGTCTCTGCAGCTCAACCCCTGTGACAGCTGCACGTGGACAAGTTGCGCAAATGTTACGAAAATATAAACCTGCTGCGGAAATCCCTCTAGTGACTTGAAATATTTAAAATTGTTAAAAGTTAGACCTATCACATTTACTAATCTTATCTGGAACTAGCTAAACTAGTTATAAATGTTTATTTACTGTCGTGTCGGTTCACTCGTTCACTGGATCAGCGAGCTGCATGAGACACAGACGGGCTGTCAGGAGAGCAAAAGAGAGGCTCCGTTTATTAAACCCGCCGTGTTATTATCCAAAGTTACTGTAGACTTCTGAATAATGTAGTAACTACTAGTCTGTCAAAGGGAGAATCTAGTCATTTTTTCGCGCAATGTTAGTATCGTAACTTTAGTGTGATTACTGAATTTTATAACAGTAACACGTTTCATTACTCCGTTACCGACGAATGTAATATTATTACACCCAGCTCACATGCTTTACATTATTACAGGATCGGTCCCAACATGTTGACTTTTCTTCGAGAGCAAGTTATCTTGTTTTTTTGTTTTTTTTTGTACAGCTTTGGCCGTATTCAGTTACTTAGATATGTGGTGCTTTATAAAATATGAGTGACTCCTGGGGAAAAAACTATTTAAAAGTTTATAAAACATAAATATTGTATCATGTTTGATAAGTGATTGATTAAGTTGTTGGGAGGTGCAATGTCTACAGTGTAGTTTGTGCAATCGAGAAGGTTAAATAGGGAAAGTGCAATATGTGTAAATAGGTATGGACACAATAGGGATATGTGCAATTTGACGGACACTATGCATAGGTGCAATAGGGAAAGTGCAATATTGATTTGTGTATGAATACAATAGGGGAAAGTGCAATAATAATAATAATGGGGCGGTGGTGGCGAAGTCGATAGGGTTTGGCAACTGGAAGGTCACCAGTTCAAGTCCCGGCAAGACCAAGTGCTACCGAGGTGTCCCTGAGCAAGGCACCGTTCCCCACACTGCTCCCCGGGCGCCGTTCAAAATGGCAGCACACTGCTCCCAACACTAGGATGGGTCAAATGCAGAGAAACAATTTCCCCACGAGGGATTAATAAAAGTCCATCTTAATATTTGATTTATGTATAAATACAATAGGGAAAGTGCTGTACCTGTATGTTTCTTGTTTGTTTCTTTGCCATGTGATCTCTGTATCTATGACTGATTGACCTGAATGTTTTATGTGTATTATCTCGATGCCCAAGACAAATTTCTCCTAAGGGAGACAATAAAGCTTTATCTTATCTTATCTCTTATGTATGTGCACGTAAAACACTCATTGTAACTGAGAAATCATCTTCATCTACATTTCTGGATAATATTATTTAATATTTTCTCCTTTTCTTTAATGTTCTCTCTCCACAGATTGTCAAGGCATTAGATCATCTGCACAGTAACCTGTCAGTGATACACAGAGGTAATTCAATTGTCAGTGTATGCAATGTTTCTCATTGTTGCTATACTATGTTCTCAGTCATCACTTTCCCGACATGTCTTTTCCCAGATGTGAAGCCCTCCAATGTTCTGATCAACACTCAGGGCCAAGTGAAAATGTGTGACTTCGGCATCAGTGGCCACCTGGTCGACTCGGTGGCCAAAACAATGGACGCAGGCTGCAAGCCCTACATGGCGGTAATTACGGAGTGTTGCATTTTTTTTTTTTTAATCAACTGGAATTGCTTTTTAAAATGTCTGAAAAAACATATATTAACAGTCCAGGAGGATATTATTCAGTCCTCTATTTTCCACTTCGCTTCAACATCTCAACTGTATGAATGAAGGTTTATAATCTTATTTGCATGCCTTTTTTCATTCTTGATGGGGTTTAATTCTTAATAGCTTTCATCTGTAAATATAAATTATAATTCTGTATTTTCCTGTTTATATATTTTATATATTTTAAGTAAATGCAACAAAAAAAGTTAAGCTTTCCTTAAAGATGCAGTATAACCATTTATGTTATTTGTTCAAATCGTTCTCGTATAATATTGGTATTATCTGTTGTTAATGATCTCTTTCAGCCTGAGCGGATCAACCCCGACCTCAACCAGAAAGGCTACAGTGTCAAGTCAGACATATGGAGTCTTGGTATCACCATGGTGAGTAGAGTTTGGTTTGAATATGTGAAACTTGATGCCATTTGTGATACATTTTAGGCAAAATAATCCATGTTTTTTATTCACTTTAAACAGAGGTGGGAGAAGTTCTCAGATCTTGTACTTCTAGTAAAAGTAGAAGTACCAGAGTGTAGGAATACTCTGTTACAAGTAAAAGTCCTGCATTCAAAATGTTACTCAAGTAAAAGTACTCGTTAGGCACATTTCAGAATAATATATATATTATATGTTTTGATTATAATGATTGATTAAAGTGGTATCAAAGCTGTTAAAGGTGCAGCTAGTTTTAAGGACTTTGTATACTGCAGGGTAGCTTGGGAATGTTACTCCAGGTTTAAATAACGTTCTTTTTAGGTGTTGATTATATTTCACATTTATTGTAAAAAATCTGTAAGTAACTAAAACTACGAAATAAATGTAGTGGAGTGAAAGTACACGATTTACGTCTGAATTGTAGTGGGGTAGAAGTACAAAGAAGCATACAATTGAAAAATGCTACGTGATTATTTCATATATCGCTTACACGACTACAAAAAACTAAATTATTATTCTACCTTGGTTGAATGTATTATTTCATTACTCTATACTCCAATATAATATAAAAGTTATTGTACAAAATGCATCAGTGTGTTACTTAGGATAAAAACACCTGTTTCCAAGCAGTAAAGTTTGAACTGTTGTTTATTCTGCCTTCTGTGAATTAGTCTGTGATGAGCATCTTGTTTGTTTTTTAAATTCATAATAAAGCTCAAGCAGTACAACACCATGTTGGTGTGCATTCCCAACCAAAGTATGTTTTGTCAGCGTGATCATTTCTATTTGATGATTAAAACGATAAAGAAAAGAGATCCCACAGGTAACTCCTATTTCCATGAGCACTAATTCTGAGTCATGATGACTGTTGAGAATACACAATTCAAACCTATTGTAGAACTTTTTTTCAGATTTTTTGAAATCGATGAATTTGCTGTTGATAGTCCGTATCACAAGCAGATTTATCAAATCTACTGCAGTCATGTAGTTTAGCTCTATCGTGTACAATCCTTTGTGAACCACCCTTTCTCTGTCTCACAGATTGAACTGGCCATATTGAAATTCCCCTACGACTCATGGGGAACCCCGTTCCAGCAGCTCAAACAGGTGGTGGACGAGCCGTCCCCACAGCTGCCTGCCGACCGTTTCTCCCCAGAGATGGTGGACTTCATCTCCCAGTGGTGAGTCTCGCACCTCCATGTCAGATGTGCAGACCTTCCTCACTTCATGCTCCTCATTCACCTCGCTGTGTGTGGCTCAGAGGCCCAGCAGGGGTCAGTGTTTGCTTTGTGTTTACTGAAAGAGGTGGCTCCAGCACAGTATCTGTAGAGTTCTTATCACTTGACTATTTTTAGATGTGGTTTTTATAAAGTTGTTATAAATGTATATGATATTGTTTTCAGTTTCTCACTTTAGCATGTGTCTCTTTGTTTTTACAGCTTAAGAAAGAAGCCAAATGAGAGACCAGCTTATACAGAATTAATGGTAAGTAGTTTTTAAGATTTTTTTTCTTACCGTCAAACGACAACAAAAATGTGTAATGGTTCCACTTTCAAAGTCCCTCTGATCAGTGTGCTCTGGTTCTTGTATTTGTCCACAAGAGGCCAGAATTAGCTAGTTAACCCCAATGTGTTAATTTCAAAAGTTAATAACATCATTAGATAATTTGTTCTCATTTAAGACTAATCCCCAAGTGTTGTCTTTCTTTTTTTGTTGCAGCAACATCCATTTCTCACCCTGCATGACTCCAAAGACACAGACGTGGCCAGTTTTGTCAAGATCATCCTCAAAGACTGAGGGCCCCCTCCAGGCCCCGGCCCATCAGGCTAGGCCGGACCTGTTAGCAACCAAACCAATGGCCTACCTTTTCTCTTTTTCTTTTTTAAAAACTCACTGGAATGACTCTCACACACAACAGGCGGGCGACCCAAAGACTGACAGCAGCACTGGAGAGAGAGAGAGATAGATAGATAGATAGAGAGAGTGGTGGTAATATGAACTCATACAGTTAAATCCAACTGGAGAGGTTTAATTCGCTCCTCCAAGCTTCCTGTGTGTGCAATTATTCAACTTGGCAAATAGGAACTGAACCAGATTTTTTTTTTTGCCCCACTGCCCATTTTTATCTCTCTCTTCAGAACGGACAGAGCCAGCCATCATTTCTTTGTGACACATATTGTATGAATACTTTGAATTTCATCTGCAAAAAACCAACAGTTAATGTGTATGGTGTTGTGTATTGAAAGCTATATTTGCATATGCGTTTGTATGTTTCTCATTATACAGACTTTTGATACTGTATATCACCGACAAGTGTGAATTTTACCGGACTAGGGCCTTATTGTCATATCGCATCAGCTGAACCGTACAACCGGGGTCTGTCCTGATTGGTCAGTGCAGGGGCTGCTGTCACGGCAGCGCCATGCTCCTGAGCTGAGACAAACATGTAACGGTCACATTCTGGACGGGAGGCATTTCATATCATTTCTAGATCTATTACAATGTGAGGCGGGAATGTAAAGCGCCCCGTAACACCTGATCTGATTGTGATCCGGGCTGAGGCCTTTCATGCAGTGACCCCCCCCTCCCCCTCCGTACTCGTCTTTTTTTTTGGTATTAACGAATCGCCTTCACTGCTGCGATCGTTTCTACCTGAAAGTATTCAGGGGTTACCTAACCAAGCTCACAGCTTTATCTCTTTCTCTGTGCCATTTTGTAAATCGTTCTCATGAATTACTGCATTAACTGTGTTTTTCCTCTTTGTTCTGGTCTTGCGTTTAGATTTGATTTCAGCAGCATTTAAACGCATCTCTTTGCCTACTGTTCTTAATTCTGGAGTCGGCATAGTCTTTTCATATGAGGCACTTACGCTTTCTTTTTTCAGAGATATTATTATGCATTACACAGACAGTATGTTAGGGGAATAATTTATGTGTTGAAGATGTAAATACTATTTCCTTTTTTAATGTAACATGGCACTGTCCTTACCTGGCAGTGCAGATGAGGAGTGGTTGGTAGTAGTCAGTTTTAATGCACACACACACACACATTTGTACTCGGCCGGCTGACTATTATACACCGATTTTGGACTGATGTGCTGTCAGGCTATACCGCTCAGGTTTCCTCCTTCATGCGGAGATGATCCCATTTTCTTTTTCCCCAGGTCGTACTCCAGAGCCTCTTTTCAGTCCAAGGCGGGCAGCCATTTTCTGTTTTGTCTGACCATACTATGCAGAGCTTCTTCACCTCGGATTCACTGCAAGAGGCCCTTGTCATGTGGCAGTTTCCCCACTTCAAGTGTTCAGAGACTGTGATGGCGGTGAAAGTGATGACGGTCATGCCTAGCACTCATTGCCTCTGGTTTACACTGTAGTGCAACCTTTATCAAAAGTCAGTGAGCTAGGAGTATTTATGATTGTGAATAATAAGGGAAAGCTAGCAACACCACAAAGAAGCTGCTATTTTATTTTGTTTTTCTTTTTAGTCTGCCTTCTTTGGATGGCCATTCCCTTGGTGTGTAAAAGTTGTGTTTTTACGCTGGTCACAATGAGAATGGAACACTTGCTCTACCTCTTCCTCCTTCACTCTATTTGCCACCTTGTCATTGGGTGGGACTGACAAACTTGAACTATATGGAAAGACAAAAAATAAAGGCTTTATTGTTCAGTATGTTCGTTTTTAAAGCTTTCCTTTCATGATTGATGCTTGTTTAGCAATGACAGAAGTAGTTCACGTGACAAATGCAGAGATCACAACCCTGTCAACATGTAGAGAATGAGGCTGGCAAACATTTCTATATCTTTATTTTTGTCGTGAAAATACCAAAACTAACTATATATTGTATATGAGAAATGTACAATCCTATCCAAGTCTTATAAATGCAGTGTTTTGACATCTGATAAGTCTTTCTAACTCATTTAGCTACTTCTTAAAGTGAACATATTGAATTGTATTTCATAATTTCTCTAGAACCTGAAGCAACATGCTCCCACTGACTATCCCCAATGCTTTGGTAAAATGCAGGACGGTTTTTGCACTTCGTAATATTCTAAATTCACAAATCACTGCTGTTTTAGTTACTTGTGCCAATAACTTGCAGTTCACAGCTGAAGGTTTATGTTGTAACACTCAACTTGTTTAAAATCTGGCAGGGCAAAGCTCTTTTGTTATCCAAACAAGAATAGCGCTAAATAATTCAACCTTTTTACGATTCTTGTAGCTGTCAAAACATTTTAAGAGAAAATTGCTTTCTGCAATGAAGCACATTTTAATTGTATTAAACAAAAAACAAAGCTAAAATCTGAATTTTATCCTCAGTTAAAATGTCTCAAATTTGGTGTTTTGCAGCAAGTCTCTTTTCAAAGTCAACTTTAATTTCAATTATTCTGTGTGTTTGTACAGACAGAGATCGGAATAACGTTTCCAACAATCCCTAATACAAATATGTATAATTTATATGTATATACATACATACATACAATCAACAGACACATTTGCACACATTATAAAACACAACACTCAATACAAAATAACAGTCACTTCAATATCTTAGGGAAGATATAGTGCAAGATTGCATGCGTTTTACGGTTGACCCACTTAATTCCTACTTCCCTGTCACTAACAGTTCCACTTAAGGCTCTCGTTCCTTTAATCAACAACAGAGACACTGGAGCTGACTGATCCAGCTGATAAAAGGCGGCCAAGCAGTCTCAAACTGACTTTCCTACTCGCACACCGGTCTGCAAGAACATGTTTTTCATCCTCTCACATAGTGTGAAAAATGTGTTGTGCAATAAAAGTGTGATTCAAGCTACTAAGGTGGAAATGGTACATGTGGATTGTGGACACATGTCAGGTAAATAACCCTCATGCTTTGTGGATTCATCGCCTAATCCCTCTGCAGTTTTAAAACCTGAACTCCATTTTCCAAACAAAAAATATAATATTTTGCCTGTTATATTACAGTTTCCATCTGCGTAGACATCCTTATGTAAGCACAGAGAAGTGAACACATATTGTATTGCATGTCGTGATTCTTCAGGATGTGTGATGAATAGAAAGAAGACTCTTATTTTGATGGCTCTTTCTGAGTGCTTTTCTGCTGTGAATGTTAACAACATGGGTTAACAAAAGCTCATTACTCCGCTCTGAGTGTTTGTCAAAGACCGATGACTTCATGCCAGGATGAGAAAACTCAATGCCATGTAGACTGCAGGCAGTGGCTCCAGTGTTTTGTGCAGCCGAACGAAAGACTCTTTTTAGGAAAGGAGGCCTTCGATGATAACGACTTGCATAATGCCGCTCAAAAGATTGGCGTGTGAGTTGAAAAAGTAGGCAGTTGAAATACTGTCCTGGCTCAATTCAATGTGGACTGTGATGCAGAAGTGAGTCAAACCTCTCTAAACTGCAAATTTGAGCAACTTGGCACTAGTGTAGCAGTGAAATGGTTGTGTAATTGTGCCTTATTTTGTACATTACAAAGAATGGTCAAAATGCAAGAAATTACTCAAGTAACGTAGTATACTCAAACATAAGGACCTTTCATTTTACTTGATTTATTCCAAATTATAACATACCTTGCACAACAGGAGATACATCTTTATTCATTGGCTTTCGAAATTAAATTAAATTACTTGACATTATAGAAAATATTTGAAATTAGTCTTGCAGCCCACAATGCTATATATACTTACACGTTGTGTTATGTTCACATTTCGCACCCTTTGGTAATGTTCGGGTCAAATTGACCCGGGACATATTTCAGGGTTTAAAAAAAATACAGAACTAAATTCAACATGCACAATTCCTTATATATATTGTCTTTAACTCATTCCCCAACAATATAAATGAAATATATGATTAGTTTTTGAAAATACTCTTTGCTAGATCAAATTTAACAATGGAAGTGTCCATAGTTTTTTGTGATAAAAATGTAATTTATGTTAAAAAAAAATACACTGTAATAAAAACCAAGTTTACATTTTGCTCATGCTTTTCTAGGACTAATGTAAATGAAAATTGTTTTCATTAATGTTTATTATTTTTAATCTGTCATATAATAATCAAAGCCCTGAAGGAAATAAAGCAATCTATCAGCAATTGGAACACAAGAACCACACAGCCAAAAGTATTTGGCTGTGAAATAGAGGTGATGAAACATCCATATAAATGACATAGAACAGATATAAACACAAAGCAAATAAAAACAATTAACAGTCACTATTCATAAAATACAGTATATCCGAAAAATATATTGAGGAAGTGACGCTGCAGAACATCATGTGAGTCAATGGGCAAGTCCGTTTAGGAAACACATGATGTACAGAACTTCTTCGTGTGTATAGCACTGTACTTGTTGCAGTTGCTGCATGTAGTCTGTGTCTTGGAGTCCTTTGATGGTCCACAGACCTCACAGCTGGCTGTGGGGGTCTTCCAGCAGCTGGCTCTGAGTCAAGTTCATCTTCCAATTTGCTGTCAAATTCTGAGTTTACCTCCACATTATCCTCATCTTCAGAAATGTCTTCCTGTTCCACTTCACCGTGTTCTTCTAATGCATTCCACTCACTCTCATCCATTATTAGCTCCAAGGCTCTGAGCAGAATATCTTTTGGCCATTTTGTTTGTAGATAATTTTAGTTCTACACTGTTACTACACTGAGGTTATGTCTCTGTTTAGTCCCTCCTCCGACGTACAGGTGCGAGGGGGGACAGTGCGAGAAAATGTAAAATGTTTATACATTTCTGGAAGATCTAAAATGTTTATAATGTTCTAGGATAGTTTTGTGTACACACTACAAAGGGTAAAGATCAAGGGAAAACAGGATCAAACAGCTTCTCTATGCATACAATTGTGTGTGTGTGTGTGTGTGTGTGTGTGTGTGTGTGTGTGTGTGTGTGTGTGTGTGTGTGTGTGTGTGTGTGTGTGTGTGTGTGTGTGTGTCTTTAGTTTGTGTGTTTCTGTGTGTTTTTCTCTGTCTGTTCTGGTATTGTATCCGGGTCAGATTGACCCGAACCTCTTATGAAGGACATTAATGCGGGTGGGCATTTTTTCATGTCCTTCACAATAAATAAGCCCCGGCCATTGAGTTTCAGGTTGAACGAAAATATCCTTATTTATTTTTTTATTCATTGAAAATGGAAATCGGGTCAATTTGACCCGAACACCACACAAGGGTTAAATGAAATAATATACAATTAACTAAAATACACAGTGGATTTATGTATTCCATATTTTTAACAGCCAAAATGTGAAATCCCATTGGAGCCCAATTATTACAAGCTTGCAACACCAGCATGACAGCAGCCTGCTTTCGCCTTAAGGTGCATATTAGAAATGTATAAGATACTGTCGCTAGTTATCACACGCTTTTGATTTAAACCTTCTCCTTTGATTTAAGGGAAGGGTGAAGCAAGCCAGGGCTGTTTCGTCTTTTCCGCTCAGCCTTGACTGTATTCTTTTTTCTCAGGCAGGTCTGATCTAGCAAGAGAGTACGTGATTACATTTGTGCTTATTTTTTCTCAGTTAAGTTTGGGAACTCCGTTAGTTGTTACCCCGAGGGACCCACACATTGACAGATGAGTGCCAGACAAGACATGGTAAATATGTGCACTCCATTTTGGAATTGTTTCCTTAGTGTTTTGCCAAATCTCACGATCTCCTGACCTGCTTACGTCCTGGAGATGGAAATGAAGGGGAAGCTTTTGCAGCTCATTAGGGTGCCACACAATGTTTCAGACAATCATCCCGCTGATGAATACAATGTCTCAATTTTAATAATTGTGTACTTTTTAAATGAGCATGTTGTGGGGCAACTCGTACTAGAAGTAGTAGCCTATGTGTACATCGTCCCTCATCAACCTTCCATGATTGTGAATCCCTTTCCCCTCTCTCTTTCTGTTACTTGCCAAGGAAAACATGACCCTCACCATGCCCTTAGATGGCAGACTTACAAGCAGCAGATAGCAACATATAAGTTGCTCTTCTTCAGGGTGGGCTGTGTTGGAATGTTAGAATGGGGTCCCTTTTTCTGAAGAGGGTAAAAGAGCATTTATGGAACCCGATCTTATCAGTGGCGGTTCTAGACCAATTTGACTGGGGGGGCCAGGCTGAGGCCAGTTATTTTCTGAGGGGGCAAAATCAGAATCAAAATATATAAAAATCTAAATAAATGGACCTCACCTCCTCTAGGGGCATGCTCCCCCGGGAAGAATTATTTTTTTTAAATGTCGAAGTCAAATGCATCAATCTGGTGCACTTTGAGCACAAAATGAATTTATGGATACAGCTCTCAACACTCATATGAAAGGGAGCTGTATACTTTTCAATAATCCAAAAATCTTTAGAATATGATCACAACCAATAACAAATCATTTAAACTTGTTTATTCTTATCTTATGTTACCTATAGTTAGCATTCTTTCTTTTTATTTATGCATATTTGACTAATCACTCCCCTTTTAAACAGTTTTTTTTACTGTCCTATAGTACACATTGGAATGATTTCTTATTTTATTTTTTACAACTATATTAAATAGATAAAGGTGTGCTCTCTCTAGCTCTCTCGCTCTCTCTCTCTGTCTCACTCGCTCACAGAGGCTGTGTGCTCCTCCGTGGCGATGACGGCTTGCGTTAAATATATTTGTAAAGTGGGGGAAACAGGATTTCGACAT